TACATAAAATTCTATTTCTATCCCAATCTGAATTCCCTTATCGTTTGTTTTAAATTTGGAAATAAAAAAAAAGAAATATGTACGCGGCCCGATAGCCAAATCGTCGAACCGTTTAAATCGTTTAGTAAACGCCGAATAGGTTGTGTACAAGTGAGGTACAACTGTTTTAATCGAATGGAAATGGAACAAAGTGAAAATGTACACCTCAATTATTCGAACAGCCGGTTGTGGACAAATAACCACGTGTCAACGGGAACGACTGTAATATTAAATAAATTGCTACATGGTATCAATTGTATTAAATTGTATCATGTAATATCTAATATTTCTAAATACACTTTTGGACTTTATTTATGATTTTTTTACACTACTATGGTTTTTATGCAATAACTACCTGTTTAATTTACGTGTAATTTGGTCGAGAAAGCTCGACTATTTTCGAGAGCATTCGAGACTCTTAATCTTGAGGTTCTCGTGTCAGCGTGAACCTGAGTGACGCGTCAAAACTTGTCGCTCTTTCTCGATCAAACTAAACTTACGCTAAACCAGTACTTATTATATTAAAATACTTACAAAACTTTTAACAATAGAACTACTATGGTTGTAAACAAGATTACAGAATGGTCCGTTTAATCTTCAACGGTTACCTTAGGCACAGATAATATTACTTGCCATAGATTACGAATTGTAAACAATACCAATTATAATGAATTATTATTGTAATGTATATAAAACACTAATTTATGTTTTAATTGATTTTATAATTATTTATTATCATGATACTTAAATAACAAGTAATGAAATTGTTAGAACATGTGGTCTCACTGACTTGTTTACTCGAATTCGGCCGTGTGGATAAAAAAGATTGTCATTTGGGTGGGGAGACACTTCTTGTCCAACCGTTGAACAGAACGGAGCTCCCTGCCGTATCAAGAGTGAACAAAGTGTAGGAAACCACGTGGTCATTATAAAAAATATATCACAATTATTGTTGACGGAGGTCCTAAAGAAGCTATATTTAAATAAGTGTGAATGAATTAACAGAAGTTGGGTATTTATGTTATATTATTTATTATATTTCATATACAAAGTAAAATAAGTAAATATATGATTTAAAAGTATGATGTCTAAATTAAATGAACTGTGAGAACTTGTGTTTCATTCCTATTTATTACCAAGAGGTTTACAACCTTTATATTGCTAAAGAATATATCATATATATACATACAAAGTTAGGATTACGTAATTGAATTACTATCTAAATCTATTACCCCACAGTTATTTTTCTAATTTAATACGCGCATAACGACCCTTAAGAAATGTTATTACGCCCTTTTTGAAGTATATGCTATAAGGAAAATTACCTATTATTTCTTAACCAATGCAATAGAGAATAAACAAATTATTGTATTCTATTATAGGAATTGAAATTTCAAACGGCCTGAAATTCAAATTCTTTTCAATTTCATTTTTATACTTGTATGACTTACGTCCATATTTCCATGCTCTAATAAGTAATAAAATATTCACAATTTTATATTTTTCATAAAACGTATTACGTGAAAAAAGGGAAAACTATATAGACTGGGCTTTTGTAAATTACACTCCATAATAGCTAGCAATGAAATTAAACCGGTACTACAGCAGAATTGAAAATCTTAATGGAGTTCTAGTCATTTTTATACTTCCAACATCTAAATGCGTAGACAGTGCTTTAAATTCTAATAAAAAACTACTTGCTCTCAATACGATAGGTACATTGATTGTACATGTACATATGATTTATATGCTAGTAAAAAAATCTGCTTAGGTATCACCTAATGTTATTCAGTCAGTTGATTGATAACTTTAAAAGGTAACTGTTTCTTGTGATATGACAGACTTACCCTAATAGCAGTTCGATCCTAAAACATTTTATCAGTTTTAACTAAGTTTGAAAACTGTTATTTTCTGCAGAAAATAGCTAACTTTATTACAACATTTGACAAACAAGTTTTCAAAACAGGGTTTGAAAATAAATATGTCACAAGTTTTAAATAACAATAGTTTTGTGGTAATAAGTATACTAAGAATCTACTTACATTTATTTTCAACCAACTTCAAAAAGGAATTTCTCAATTCGATTGTATTTTTTTAGACTTGTTACTTTATAACTTCGTCAGTTCTAAACTGATATGGAAAATTCTTGTTTTATGTCTATATAAATATAAAGAATATATATATAAAGAATATAGTTACAAATAAGTTTTAATAAAAATTTTATCAAAATCGATGCAGTAGTTTAGATTTCAAATCAAAATAACAGGTTTTGTCACAATTGAAGCCGATTTTTTGTGGACACTATGTTTAATTATTTAAGGCTTTACTAAATCGTAATATCTGATTATGCTTCTATTTATAAATATATGCATATTAATTTATGATCAAAAACATGAGAATAAGGATTCTTTATTATGTTTATTTCCCCAAGAAGGTTCAATTTTCTCAAACATTAATATTTGAGAAAATCTTATCATACATTAATTTTTTTTAAATTTGTACCTATCATTTTTAGAGTAAAATTATCCTCTTGTATAAGATATCCCATATAAAACATAAAATGTAAAAATAATACCAAATCTCGTAACGCAGTTTCTATAAAAAGTTGTTGTAAAATAAAGTGGTCAGTTATTTTAGACGGTATTTATCAAATGAAATTCAATATTCATTTGCTTAGAACATACATTTAATGTGATAAAGGCTACACAACTTTTTGGCATTAAATAAGAATTCAGCATTAACGTTGATAATTATTAAGATTATACAAAATTAATGTAAAAAAAAAATATATTAGAAAAGACATTAGAAAATACAGCTAAGTAATTAAGTTAATTATGAGAATAGCAAGTATAATTATGAGAATGAATACTATAAAATGTACAAATAATAATTATGTCAACTATTTTTGAGAAGCAAAGTTATAATATTCTCCGATACCTACTATATAAGAACCTATCGAGGAGCTACAGATGTAGCCTTTTTTAAATATTTTTAAGGACAAGTCCATAAGATTTAAGACAAGTTTATTATATATTTTTGGGCCAATAAATGAAGCATTCTTTTGGTATAAGGTGAAATTTCTTTTTGGTGTCATAAGTTTATTTATTCTATGCGATCTAATGCGTAATAATGGAAGTACCTATTCAACTACTTTGTCATAAATTGTTATGTCATCAATTATTATCTATCGACATTTATAGTAATCGTATCGATATCTCTTATTATATTATCATCTTTATTTTTGTAATAAATAATTGAAATGACTTGGCAAATAATAATAATAATAATAAAATTTAAGGATTTTTTATTTTTTGCCTTCCTTTATGTGCTAAATTCTAACTAAAATTCAAAATTTGAAGTTAGTGAGATTATTAAAAGTACCTTAGAATTTTGGTGAACAGATCAAATAAACATGTCAATGACATAATTAAAAAACTTTGACTAACGATAATTAGTAAAGTATAAGGCACAATTATTAGGTATATTGGTAATATACCTAGTTACAGTATGTCCTTTTGGCCACTAAAAATTCAAATGAATGATCTGAAAATGAATTTACAATAAAGTTACAGAGGGGTCAAATATTCGTGAATCACTTTGAATAAAAGATAATTAAGCCGTGCTCGCTTGGCGAGGGCACTGCCGTACCTCCTAATAAGCAAACTAATGTATAGATATCAGTTTACCGTTTTCTTTATTTTATAGGAAAACAATGTAACATCAATTTCACAATTTGGGTCAAAGTAATTGAAAGGCTTCTCAAGGACTCAATATATTTTTTATTTATTCCTCTTGAATATAAGCATATTTATAAATTATGTTGATTTGTGATTTACTTTCCTTTTATAGGATAATAATGGAAACTCCTTGTCCCAATTGGGTCATAGTGATTCATGGGTTCTTATAGATTTTTTTTATTACAGCGTTAATTTAAAATCACGTTTTATTTATACTTTTGATTGAATATGAAAAATTAGTACAATGACTATGTTTTGACAGGTATAGCTACTTTATTATACCTAGCATTAACATAAAGATTAATAAAATATTGAATCATATACTGATGAAGTTGCGGAGCGTGTTTGATTATCGAGATTTCGCCTAGAACGGTCTAGGTTAGCTGGACTAACCACGTTCTCACACACAATGTCCTTATGCGGCTAAGTATACAAACGTTTGTATAAACTATGTAACCTGGCATGTATGAGTAATTTGTTGTAATACACGAAACTGTACCTTTTATATATTATCCAATTATACAGTACCGTACCCCGTTAATATTGCAGTTTTCTGTTGGACAAACCTCATAAAAAGCAGTCAATAATACATAAAGCTTTAGTCCGTGGCGCATGGCCTCAAGTCGTCTCCAATAAAATACAAATAGAGTCGATTGAAATGCAGGACGAACCTGGCTGTTTGCTTAATGCCGTCCGAGTCAACTATAACCAAGATTGCTTTTTCAGTTTCAATCACTTGTAAATTGTTATAGCGTAAATTAAAGGAAATACGATTACTGCCTTCGACAGTTCGTAATATATTATACGACTTAATGTTATAAAAAGGTAAGGTAGACATGCGAAAAATCTATTTATTTCATTGCAAATTGAAAAATGACCTTTAAAATCTGAAAAAGTACCAGTACCACCGTATTATGTAAAGTTTGGCCAGAGAGTCATAGTACTTATAAAAAAAAAATGGCAATTTTTATTATTTATTGTTTTAATCTACTAAAATTTATTAGATCTTTACAAAGTCGTATGGAATCGATATGGGAGTAAATTATTTCGATAAAAAAAAATATTAATCAAAGTTAATTTTGAAGTGACGAAGTCATTGTTAGTTACAATGCACGCTTAATATACCTAGCTATAATCAGTACTTTTCATTAAGCTAGTGGAAACATCTTAATGCGTGGAGTTAATTAATATGAATACAACCATTGCATACAAGCAAGTATAATACTTCATTACCAATTCTGTTGTAGGAAGAATCACAATGAAAATTATCTGTAAGACTATGAATAATGTGAATCAATATATGTATCGCGTAGACATTTACATAATTTTTTTAATTATGATAATCTTTCAGGGTTTTATGCAATTACAGCAGCAACTATTATTACAGCAGAACAAGTGCAAGAAAAATCTGATGGAATTAACAAGATATTAGACAACTTAATGAAACAAACGGAAAACAATAATTATGGAAACTATGATCTTAATCATAACCTCACAATAAAAAGTAAAGGTAAATCAGGTAATAATTCTAAAATAATATATATAAAGCCAAACATAAAAAGTCGTGATAAAAATTCAGATGAACCTAAGAATAATAGTATTGAAAACTTTGATAAAAATGCATTTAAGGATTTTAGACGATTGAAACAGAGTCAAGAATATAGTGAAGAGTCGGGAAACAATAATAAAAACATTGACAAAGATATATTGAAACAAAAAATTTTATTTGAAGATAATGACAATTCAACAATCAGAACAACAGATTATGTATTATCGTTATTTGATCCAGAAGCATTATCTAAACTAGATTCCGATAAATTAACCAGAATGGGTTCAGAAGAACTTTCAAGTTTGATTGATACGAAAGCTAGGAGTGGCTCTCCCGATGAGGATTATTTATTTAATTACGAAGAAATTATAACAGAAAAAAAAACAATCTCAACCAGAAACTAGTAATTTTAATTCATTTTTATCTAACTTCCAAACTAAGAGTATTAATTCCGATGTGACAGAAATAAAGGTACCTGATTACAATAATAATGATTTTGGTTCAGAGGTAGATATGATACCTATGAGTAATACTCATCGAGAAAAAATATTAAATAAATTATTCCAAAAAAAACGAGCACCTTCATTGTTATATAGAGAAAACAAAAAAATAGAAAAAGTAGAGGCTCCAATGAATAATCTCCTAACAAATTATATGGGGGAATTAGTGCGTTCGGCTCAACCTAACAATAATCTGTCAGTTGAAATAATAAATATTCCAAATATTTACAAACCATATGAAAACATATTGGAGAGAAATCTTTGTTGCGGAAATAATTGGAGAAACGTATTGTCGAGAGTTGGGAAAATGCAAAAATATAATCGGATTATTTACTTGAATTATTTAATTAATAGAATGATGCCAAGATATGTTTATCAACCTTTATATAATAGTTTTGTGTATAAGTAATAAAACTGTTTTGAAGATATTATATTTACGTACATGGGAAGGTAACGATTAATGATGGTCAGTAGGTCATAAAATTGCATTAATCCTCATATAGTAATTACATTAAAAAACTCTCAAATGTAATAATTAAATAATTAAAACTTTATGTATTACTTAATTATTAAATAATTTATGCGCAACTAAAATTGTAAGGTTTGGCCCAGAAACGAGAAATAATTTCGCGAAAGTGAAACCGCGGCTAATAGATAGTATTACATATTGTCAAGAAATGTATACATTTCATCGTTGCATTTGACACTATAGTCAGTCACCGACAGCTAGTTAGTAAAGTTGTGAGCGGGAACACAAAGAAGCTACCTACAATTCGCAGTCTAACTAGTAAACAACCAAACACGATCAAACCCATCCAAACCGCGCTCAAAGATATAGTTAGCTGCAGATAATTCTGTCGTTCAAAGATTTTGCATGTACGGACACTAAGAGTATTTATCCTTTAAAGTAACTATGTGTAAAACGGTTATTTACTTAGAAACTGAATCATTCTTTCCTGAAAAGGAAATTATGTTGATATCGTTTAGAGCGTTATACATATATGTACTTTGATACTTTGAACTTTCACTCTAAGCAAGTGTTTTATTTGATAACAGCTTGGATGAAATTTTACTTCACTTATAAAAATTAATTCATAACAATTATTTCTCTAATAAAAATCTATTCTATTTAATATAGTACACTAAATTAACATAAAATAAATGTTGTATTTTAGTTTTAACAACAGGGAACATGGAAGGTGCAGTTAATTAAAACTTATCTAGACACAAACATAGAAAAAAAGTAATAAGTACATATGTACTATAATAGTAGTATAATAATATATAAGTAAGTATGTAGGTACTAACAAAATATCTGTAAAAATATTTTGCATTTCTAAAAAGTTAACGATGGGACCAATATGTTTGTGAATACGTAATTGAATTCAGCAGTTCAGTTGTAGAATAATTTATTAATTAAAAACATTTGGCGGTAAATGGCTGTTAGCTGGCATACCTACAAAACCAACTTAATCTTTCGCCGAGAAAATTACTGCAGGATGCATCTTCAGAATAATTGGTTTTCTTTATTTTAGTAAAATATCAACTTCTGTCTGTGTGGAAATTTCAAGGGAGTATTTTTATGTGAGTAAATAAGATAATAATTCAAGTTAACTTTTAATAGTCTTATTGAAACATTAACAGCCCAATGGCAGGATGACTATACGAATTCTAAAATTGAATATTTGGCCAAGTCTCTTAATTTTCAAATTCATGATAGACTTATATTAACGACATCAACTAAAGCATAATGCAATTTTTTTTTATTTGCATTTAATTAATACTTTTATACCTGAATTAAAAATTAAATAACAGTTGACTGCACAATTTAATATTGTTTAAAGTTTTGTATTTTTTGATTAGAATATACGAGCACATAGATAAGTACTGCGATTGAGCAAGTTATCGGAATGTTATATGTATTCGATTTTACTTTATTCGAGAACAGTACACCTATGAAGTACCTTGCTTCGGCTTTTGTGATATTTCGCAAACGCTTTCAGGTCTTACTAGATAGAGGAGTAATTGATTAATTATCTGTGTTGCATGTCGATCCTTTGTAAAGGGGTTTGCATTAATTGATTCAGTCGAACTTATAGACTAGTGCAATGTGAATTGAATACACTTACAAATCCCATTTGTGTACGTACTGTTATTTGAATTGTATAACCCTATTCTAAAATTAATTAACTAAGTGTATTAGTTAATATAATATGTTTTGTCAAAAATTAACAATAAGTAATAATGATTATTACTAATAAGTATATCTGTATTATTTATGGAAGTATTAATGAATAATAAATAATAATACAGATAATATACCTATTAGTAGTAATACTACATAAAAAATCATGCATATAGTAAATAATATTTGACATCTTTTGTGTCGATTACGATACGTGATGTTGAATTATTATTTAAATTATATTCCTCAAAAAAGTAAATGGCAGTTCCAGAGATTTCCCATGATATTTTTTTTTAATATTTCTTAACATATTGATTCACAGTAAGCGTCACTGGTCTCCGTGCTAGGAAAATCCTCTGTTATGAAGGTCAGGCTATCGTATTTCACGTAATTAAATTTCTTATATAAATTTAAGAAATTACAAAAAATATAGAAATTAAGATTAAACTGTAAATGATAAATATGATTTAAAAGTATAGATAACAATAGTAATAGATATACTCGTAAATAACAATAATATTAGTTTGAAATAATAAATTTACTGCCTTTACTTATATATGTGAACTAGGCCATTTATCTATAACTACATGAGCTATTTACATTTAGAAGAAAAAAAGTAAAAAGAAAAGTAGGACATATTGTACAATAAGTATATTAATTACTTTGAAATAAAAACAAACATTTGCAATACAAATCTGTTTAGTTCGCACAATTTTTAGAACTATTTTAATAATTTAAATTAAATAATAAAATAGCGATATCCTTGCAAGGAATTAGTGTTCAATTCAGTGAGTTGTTATGTGCCTCAGAGGAGAGGGCGCTTTTTAATTTTTCAATGTTAGCAAAGAGCATTATAACAAGACAACTTCATATTCGCACTGAACGTAATCCTTGAACGTGTATTTTCACGGCACGCTTTAATCTCTGAGAGCTTTCAATAGCGTTTCACACATATAGAAAAGTTTGGGTGGAAATGTTTCAAACTCTTCTCCGGAGCGAGGGATGTAGTTGCTATATGATAATGTGTTTAAGTAATATTTTGTTTAATGGCTATCTAATATATTTAATCGGTTATAGAATATATGATAAGAAAGTAAAATAAAAAAAAAAATAATTGGAAGTTACATTATATTCCGCTATGTCCATTGTGCTGTTCATGTATGTTGGCGACAATTACCATATCATTGGAACCATCATTTTGTTTGCTTCTATATTGCGTGAAAAAATAACATCGAACAAATCTATCTATCTGTACGTGTAATAAAACCAACTAATCTTTGCTAGTATACGCATCACGCAAAAAGTACTGGAGGGATATTCATAACATTTTAAAACACAGGTCAACAGTAATACGTTTTACTGTGAAAAATTATCTTATTCCGAAACAAAAATATAAAAAACACACTTGCATAAACAACGTTTTATACAGCTAATCTCTACTAATATGTTAATTTATTAATGTAGACAACTCAAAAAATATTGAACTGACTTTAAAAATTATTTCTCCTATAGAAATCTGCATTGTCCGTAAGAGATTGCTTATAGCGATAAGGCCGCCTTTTGTATATGTACATTCAGTATAAATATTCTTTGTATATGCCTCTTTTGAGTGCAATAAAGAGTTTATTATTATTATAATCAGCGAGTACAACGGATTGTGCTCAGAAGAATTGTTCAATATGATACCCACGGTCACTTTCTACCTTCATACGGCTCACCATCGACAGCGAGTTCAGCCTCATACCCTATAGCCTAAATCGTCGCGTACAACGCGGTTTCACAGATGTTTTTTCCCACGAACACTCAGGTTATGGAATGAATTCCCTGCCGAGGTTTTTCGAAGAGACTACAGCATGCAGTTCTTCAAAAAGGGCGTAAAGAGATTTCTTCAGGGTCAGCAACGCGCGCGTAATACTCCTGGTATTGCAGGCGTTCATAAGCTACGGTAACCGCTTACCATCAGGTGGACCGTATGCTTATTTGCCACCTCAGTGGTATAAAAAAAGATTTACATTCTCTGTATATTATTTTTGAAAATTCTAACTGCTCATACGAAGCGAGGTCGGATCACTTGTTACTGATAAGTAGAATAAAAAAATGGTTCTAGTATCTTTACTATTTTATAAATCATTAGAAATAAAATCTTTTATCTAATTTAAAATATTAATCTTTCCACTTTGTGACCTATTTACACTGTGTGTACTATTTTTTTAACGTACCATATGTTAGAGTATATAACCTCAATGGTATGGTAATATTAATTCTTTTTAAAATTGACAGTCTACTAATAAAACTTGAAGACCGATGTCTTTTCGTGTTGCAGATTATTTTTAATTTAGCTTTATCCAACATGGTAGCAGAGCGTAAAGTGAATATATTTTAATTTAAAATCACTGTATTTGCTTGCGGTGACGATTTACGGTGTAAAGTAAATTTTCAATAGCGATTTGAGGAAAAATGGCGACTACGAATTCGGTCGTTGTTCCGGCTATAGAAAGATTAAATGGGCTATTAAATTACACCCAATGGAAGTTCAACATGCGTATGGTCCTAATGCATGAAGATTTGTGGGACTGCATAGAACGGACAGATGCTGGAAAACCTAGTTGCAATGACAGGAAAAAACAACAGAAGGCGCTAGCGAGAATTTGTTTGAGCTTGAGTCCAATGGCTGTTGTACATGTTCAGAATGCCCTGACTGCATATGAAGCCTGGGAGAACTTGGAAAAAGCGTACGAGGATAAAGGTCTTACAAGGAGACTGGGTTTGTTACGTACACTTTTTAGTCTAAAGTTAGAACAATTTGCAGACATGGAGACGTATCTATCACAAATATGTAGTATTGCTCAACAACTGGTCGACATTAGCTCTCCGTTAGATGATGAATTTTTAGCTGTAATAATGCTAAGTGGTTTGTCACAATACTATGATCCACTAATTATGGCACTGGAAAATTCTAATCTGAAGTTATCTAGCGAATTTGTAAAAATTAAACTATTACAAGAGGATTTGCGACGGCGTAATGACGGTTCGGAACCGGCTGAGACAGTGTTAGCGGTGAAACGTCAACAGAAACAGATAAGGTGTTTTCGCTGTAAGAAACCTGGACATTATGCAAAGGATTGTCCTAGCAGGTTTACTAAGAAAACCGAAACATCCAGCGGTTCATCGGTAAAGGCTACGATGGTATCTGCTTTATTGACGACTATGCGGCAAGATGCGTTTTACATTGATTCAGGCGCGAGTTGTCACATGTGTAATAGTGTCGATATTTTATCTGATTTTGTACCGGACGAAAATGTACAAGTTACTGTAGCGAACGGTGAAATACTTCGTAGTGCGGGTCGTGGTAGTACAAACTTTTTAG